TGCGCGTGTGTTTATATATATATATATATATATATATATATATATATATATATATATATTCTACCCTAATAAACCAGTGAAAAGAGCTGAGAGGGTGAATGGGGTTCTGCCAGATTGTAGAGCGTAAAGGAGAGGCAACAGCTGAGCTGAAGCGAGCAGTCATTGGCACTCAGCAGACCCTCCTCTGTGTTTGAGGGTGAGAGACACGCTGTTCTGTGAATGTCTTCTGCTGAGTGCAGAGCCTCTGCATCCACCTTTGAGAACCAAAGGAGACCTAACCGAGGATCAGATTTTGGATGAGGAAGAAACCAAGTGGAAGCTGTCTGTTCTCCAATTCTGTGTTTACAGTGTTTCTGATTTGAAACACTGTAAATACTGTCATTGTGGACTAACATACCTGTTACGGATATCTTGTGCTGTGCAATCCGTTTTCCTCACTTTGGACCATTTATGGAATATCAGTTTTGACTTTGAGATTTGCAGAGACTTTCAACACTGGATCCAAACATGTTGGACACCAACCACTACCTTCAAATTGATACTTCCTCTTTTGAGGATCAACCAATCCGAAATGGTCAAGATAAGCTATCTGTGAGTCTGGACTGTGACAGACAAGCATATCTTAGCCTCAAAGAAGGTGGGCATTGTTGTTTTTAAGCTTTTATAGAGTATAAATAAAGTACCCTCCAGGTGTTCACCCAATTTAATACATTGAATTTAGCTTCATTAGCGTTTATGCCAAGTCTTAAAGGGTTAGTTCACCCAAAAATGAAAATTCTGTCATTAATTACTCACCCTCGTGTTGATCCAAACCCATAAGACCTTCGTTCATCTTCAGAACACAATTTAAGATATTTTTTATGAAATCTGTGGCCTCTCTGACCCTCCCATAGGCAGCAAGGTAACTACCACGTTCAAGGTCCAGAAAGTACCAAGATGATCGACAAAGTAGCCCGTGTGACATCAGTGGTTCAACTGTAAAATTACGAAGCTACGAGAATACTTTTTTGCGCAAAGAAAACAAAAATAACGACTTTATTCCACATTTTCGTCTCTACTGTGTCACTTATTTTTGTTTATCTTAAATTGTGTTCCGAAGATGAACGAAGGACTTACGGGTTTGGAACAACACGAGGGTGAGTAATTAATGACAGAATTTTCATTTTTGGGTGAACTAACCCTTTAATGCGTCAGACCCCATTATTCTAGTGTCTTAGTGGTGAGATCACCCCAGCTGCTTGTACAGAGCCAAGAGCAAGCACCGGTTGACCTGCAAACCGTGCCAGGCCCGGGGGCTTTGAGGAAAGTCTGCAAGAGGCGTGTTTAATTAAGACCCCAGACACACAGGCTCTTGGATTAACCCAGTTGTCTGCATGATTCGTTTTCTTTTTTCCTTTTGTCTCAAGACCTGGATGTTGACACCACACTTTCCAGGTCTCCCTCGGAATTTTCCAGGCTGGCGAAGAGAAGATGGAGAGAGTGTTGGCATTTAAAAGTGTCTGATTGATTTACACTATCAGGCCAGGTTCTCGGAGAGCTGCGAGAGGGCTTGTGTTTCTTCTTCAGTGGGTACAAGAATAGTGCCCAGCAGCTCTAAGGAGTGGGTGGTCAAAAATAGCTGTTAAAGTGAAGTGGGAATAGGAAGAATTTAGAACAAATAGCGAAACTTTTCGTGTTCAATTTGCAAGTGAGAACCAGAGTGGGTGTTCTGGGATTTTACGGGAACCTGTGACAAAAAGGGGCTCTGATTTAAAAGTGCAGGATTCACATCCTCACCGCTGGTCACCAAAGTGGCAACCATTGGTTTTGTCACCTTATGCACTTCCAAAAGTGGTTTTCGTAGTAATGCCATAGCAGAACGATGTTCTGTTCCCCAAAGAAACTTTCAGTGAACAGTTCTTAAAAGATCACTTTTTCTACGTGTAGAAAAGTAGAGCCTTTTCCACCATCAATAACCTTTTGTGCAATGGAGAGTTTCCATGAAAATCCTACAATGTGATTTTCTGGATTTTTTTTCTCATTTTGTCTCTCATAGTTGAGGTATACCTATGATGAAAATTACAGGCCTCTCTCATCTTTTTAAGTGGGAGAACTTGCACAATTGGTGGCTGACTAAATACTTTTTTTCCCCACTGTATTTTTGATTAAATCTGAGAGCTCTCTGACCCTCCCATAGACAGCAAGGATACTACCACGATCAAGGCACAGAAACATAGCAAGGACATCGGTAAAGTAGTCCATGTGACATCAGGGGTTCAATTGTAATTTTACAAAGCAGCAAGAATACATTTTGTGTGCAAAGAAAAAAATAATAATATAATTTATTCAACCATTCTTCTCCCCGACTTACCGTCTTCCGGCATTTTGGAGAGTACACCAGAACGTAATCAGCGTTGTTTACGTTCAGCATGCGCGCGTTTTCTACTGAACGTAAACAACATTGATTACGTTGATTTTAATTTTTGGGTGAACTTACCCTTTAAATGTTCTTCATGGAACCACTGATGCCAGTGAAGAACCTTTATTTGTTATTTTACTTATGGTTATTTTACCAAAAAGGAGTGTTTGGTTGGTCTTGGCATGCGTAGCCGATGTTCTGTTTCTTTATCCCCTGACGTTGTGACTGTGAAGGGCAGAACAGCTGACTGACTAGTGCACACAAAGCAATGCCATGTGGGTGATGATGTCATTGTGTCAGGACTGACAGGTGCACGCTTGCCTCTAAAGCCTCCTGGGATGCCATCAATACTCACAGGCCACATCCCTCCTGACATGACATTTGACATAATAGTAACTGTAACGGCTTTTTTCACAGAACAAAGCAATAAAACTAATTCCTCATGCTGTCTACACACCACCCTCTTTATAATCATTGAGCAACTTACTCAGTGTGTTATGCCAGCATGTAAGTTCCTGATTTGAAGAACGCCTATTGCCTCTCAGTTACACTTTTTGAATTCAGGAAAGTAGTTGAGTGTGATGAAACGGGAAGTATGAAAAACCACCCAAACAACCTAACCATTCACAGTCCCTGCCCTCAGCATTCACTCTTTAGTTAGAAAGAAACTGAAAGAGGGCTCTTTCGAGCTCTTGTCCTGATTATGTTATAGTCATCTGGCTGCAGCTGTCCCGATGTTAATATCGAATCAGTCATTCTCTGAATCTGAACCCCTTTCCTCTCTCTCCATGCAGTTCTTCAGCTCAAACTACAACAGAGAAGGACGCGAGAGGAGCTGGTCAGCCAAGGAATCATGCCTCGTAAGTCAGATTTTACTCTTCTAGTTACCAACCATCACACGTTTGCATCACACTTTTTGCAAATGTGCATTTACTTGCAACAAAAGCAGATTGCAAAGAATGAATAGGTTAATTTTGGCAAAGTTTGTGAGTATATGCATAGTTGCTTCAAAAAGTATTTGGGCACTCACGTCAATTTATAAATGTATTGGCAAAATATAATGCTAAAATATAAAGCTAATGACATTTATAGTAATACAGCACAAACACAAAGTTTCAAATTATAAAACAATATTTTGTGTTATATTTATATAAGCAATATATTGTGCAAAATTATGAAATCAAAGCAAATAATCAACATGATAAAGTCTTTGCTGAAAACACAATCTTCTTTATGCCTTCTGTCGTCTGATAGTTTATACTTCTATAGCAAGTTAAATAATTGTACAAATGGCCACCTTTAGGTCATGGAACAATGTCTGCACCAAATTGCATATTTTTTCTCAGTTTGGGCCTTTGAATAAAATGCATTTTTATCCTCAAGTATGAGCTCCACATTCTCACTCTATTATACTTTATGAGCCATAATAAACTGATGTATCAAATGTGATACAAAACATAATCCGTATGCAACTTTTTTTTTTTTTTGTCGTCTTATTTTTTCTTTTGATGTCAGGCTTTATGCAACAAATTGGTTAAAAAAATTGATAATGTGTTAAACTATACTTGTGGTTACTGACAGGAAAATCCCTTTCGGACCAATTGATTAAAAGCAGTTGCAAAAATGGTTCCCTGATGAAAATCTATTGCATGTTCTCAGATGCCACTTGCATTGATATTTAATATGCAGTGACATTCATACATTAAGTTTGAGTAAAGTGTCCAAAAACATTTTGAGGCCACTGTATATTCTAAAGCTAGGTATAATGACAAATATTTGTTATGCAGTTTAGCCACAATGACATGCAGACTCTTGATATGGCACTATTTGTTGGTATGTCAATAAGTTGCTGTTGTGGTGCAGCTATGGCCGCAAGTATTTCATGTTACTATTCGGATATTGCAACATTCACAGCCGATCATTCTGCATGAGCATATTGCAGCATAAACATTTGTTTTGCTTATAGGCTCCAGCAGGCTTTAATGGATGGGACTGTTCTCTAGATGTGGTCTGGTATAGAAGACTGACTCTTGATTGCCAACACACAGTCATTGTGAAAGGGCCTGTTGTTGTGTTATCAGGTGGATCTACTTCCCCTATTGTTTCCACTTCCTTATTCTATGTTCTGCTCATCAGACGAGAGGAATTTGCAGTCTTCACACTGTGCTGTCTGTGTGGCCTCTGTGGGATGGAGGAAGTGCTCAAGCAGCTCTAGCTTTGCTCTTTAAAAGCGACAGCCAAAAATGAACTGTTTGGTTAACTTTAAACAGTACTAAACACTTGTGTTACAATACTAATTGACAATTGCACTTGCTGCGCACATAATCCTGCAGGATTACATTAAGATTTCATAACTGTTTAATGTAACTAAGAGGCGACTTTTTCATCAAAGATTTTAGATTAAATTTATATTGAATGTCTAAGGGAAATTTTATACTTTTAGGTTTCCCGCCATGTTTTAATTCACCTTTTTGCCTTACAATGCAGGTTATGTCAACTTTCCTAATGCTTTTAATGTCATTTATCCACAACTCTACAGGATAAGCTTCAGAAACTTGCGTTACTAAATATCAGTATGATGTATCTATCTATTTTTTTATATTTTGCTCTCTAAGGTGGCAAGGCTACATTTATTTGATCAAAAACTCAGTGCAAACTGTAATATTGTGAAATATTAAATAACTGCTTTCTGTTTTAACATTTTTTTTTATTTATTCTTGTGATGGCAAAGCTCGACTTTGAATCAGCCATTAGATTAGAAATGATTCTAATATGCTGATGAAACCTTACTGATCCCAAACTTTGTACAGTACATTTGGTTTATTTTTGTGAGCCTCGGTTGCAAAGAGACAAGGCGGATCATTGCTGACCCTACCTTATGGTTTCAGAAATTCGAAGTTAGTTACCCAATCTTGGCTGTTACATCACATTCTTAATCCGTTATCCCTTTCATATTACAGCTCAATCACATGTGCAGTTTACTGTCCTTGTTTTTTGGTTCAGCCCTCTTTTAGAGAAATAATGTCTGCTGTTGTGGTAGTAAATTTATACTGTACATACATCGTACAAGTACAGTTTACTACCAATTTATGGAATATACTTGTTTGGTATACTCTAAAATGAGAAGTAGCAAACTATTTAGCAAAAAAATGTATTTTTAAAAATGTAAAGAGTATATAATAAAATATCTATATTATTTTATATCCTGTTAAAATACATTGATTTTGATTTCCCAGATGCAATTTCAGGCAGAAGGATATACACACCTGCTGTTATTGTTCTTTCAGCAGGTGATTTGAGCCAATCTGATATAAGAGGATCTTCTGTGTTTTCACATATGACCTTTTAATATGACCTTTAATGATGAGTTTTTCATTCTTCTTACATAATGCCTCAATATCAAATATTTAGGCACCTTAATAAATTAAGGCAAACAGGTGGGCACAGATACATGACTTGGTAGTCATGGCAGTGATTGAGTGAAAATATGTATTGGGACATTGTTTGGAGTGGGTGGTTCACACAGGAAACATTTTGGTTTGCTCCTGCTCCTGAATGCTCGCTTAATTAATCTGTTGAGTACCTTGAGGCAGTCACAATGACCAAAATGCACATCCCTATGACTGAACATAAAGCAAGACTGTCTCTGTCTCTATTCTGTACACAGCACTGAAGAGTTCGGCTGCCTTTCACGAACAGAGGAGAAGTCTGGAGAGAGCACGCGTGAGTGACCTTATCTTTTTCCTTTTCATCACATTCTTGTCATCCTTGATTGACACTTGTTTTCTCTTTTACTGGTGCAGACTGAGGATTACCTGAAGAGGAAGATCAGGAGTCGGCCAGAGAGGTCAGAACTGGTCAGGATGCACATCCTCGAAGGTGAGTGTCACGTCATTCTTTTTTAAATATGAAAACAGAGTAATATTAAATGATCACAGTATGTTTCTGTCTCTTGCAATGTACCTTTCTTACAGTGAAAGGGTCCATAGCCATAACCTTATCCTGACCTGTTCAAGAGTGAAGGAGCTGTTTATATTTTTCTATAACCTTTGCATTTTTTTCCATTTCCGTTACAATAGAAACAGGTAGTTGATCAACATGCAAAAGTACTAATTGAGTCAGTAGACTCTTAGAGGGGAATTTAGATGGTATTTACATCAAAGGAAGTGATTCAGTTGTTAATAATCATATTTCACCCACAGAGACCTCAGCCGAGCCCTCACTGCAGGCCAAGCAGCTGAAGCTGAAGAGAGCCCGATTGGCAGATGATCTCAATGATAAGATCTCCCACCGCCCTGGTCCCATCGAGCTCATCCACAAGAACATCCTCCCTGTGCACACGCTCATCGGTTAGTCTGTAACCACTGTCACTATTATCGCAATGTCAGCTTTGTCAGTGTTACTGTTTTAAACACCATAAGCATTTTCTCCACAAATGACAACAGTGCAAATCTATTATTTGCAAAGTTGACAAAAAAGAGGAAGCTTTACCTACATTTATTGTCAATAAAGTTCCTGTGTCATTTTAATTGCATAGCAGTTCAGTAAACTACAGTGAACTGAAAAAAGTCAATATTTTTACTTAAAAGATTTGCTCACACTGACTCATTCACAACTCATATTCTGTTAAATGTAAGTGAAGTTTTACTGTTTTACATAAAAAAATATCTTAATTTGTGTTCCGAAGATGAATGAAGGTCTTACAGGTTTGGAACGACATGACTGAGTAATTCGACATGGCTCCCTTTAAGAGGATAGTTACCCATAATGAAAATCCTGCCATCATTTAATCACCCAAATTTTCATAAGACTTAAATTAAACCACTCGATTCATATGGAATAATTTTACAATGCCTTAATGGCCTTTTTGGATCCTCTTAAGTTTTGGTTACCTGGACTTTCAGTGGAGACACAGCAACCTCTCAGGTTTCATTAAAAATATTATTAGTCTTATGGATTTGGAACGACACGGCAGTGAGTAATCAATGATGAATTTTTGGGTGAACTATCCCCTTACATGTGTCCATGCACAGATCAGACAACCAATTTCTTATGTGTATTTTCAGGTACAGAGTCTCCAAAGGGTGAGAGCTCCTCATTGGACGAGGACAGTAGTGATGCCCTGTCACCGGATCCCCAGTGCAGTCAGAACTCTCCATTGGGTCTTGCCCCTCAACACTCCCCCTCTGATATGATGAAACTGAATGGAGACCTCTCACCCACTCGGGTATATTTCTGTTTCAGTTGTTCAATATGAGATTAATTAAATATTGCTTTTGTGCTTTCAGTAAGCTAGAGGGCAGCACTGCTCTACATTCATTCAGACACACCCAACATATTATCATGTTGTTTTAAACTTTTTTCAATAGTACACGAAAAGATACATTTAGCAGAATGTCCAAGCTGCTTTTTTCCATTCGTATTTTAATTTGAGTGAACTGTCCTTTTAAATTGTTTTGTATTTTAAATGACCTTGTTATTATAAGCCACATTTGCAAGTTTAAGAACAGAGAGGACAATGTAAGAAATTCATTTAAGACCACATACTGTATTTAACCAGTGTATTTGTTGTAGTTCCTCACTCAGGCCCCACCTTCTCCTCTCGTTGCGTCTGACGCCTCTCCACCACAGAATCTAACCAGTGAAACTAACATGACAAACTCTTCCCGTCCACCGACGGGACATACCAAGGTAAAGTGAAAGCCATCAAACCTATCATGGGTTTCATTTTTCAGTCTAAATCAATAAAAATGTGATTTCATCACTCATTTTCTTTTGATATTCCTTTGCTTTGTCTTCACCATAAGCAGCAGTCCAAGTTCAGCACAGATCGGACATCTCAACGATCCAAGAAACCCAAAGATAACAAGCCCAAAGTGAAGAAACTCAAATATCACCAGTATATCCCACCTGACCAGAAGAATGACCGGGAGCCTCCTCCTCAACTGGACTCCTCATACGCTAAAATCCTCCACCAGCAGCAGCTTTTTCTTCAGCTTCAGATCATCAACCAGCAACAGCAGCACTACAACTACCACACTATCTTACCCGCACCTCCAAAGTGAGTACAACCACACAGTTTATGGATACACTTTACTGTGTTGTGTGTAATTGACCTATCGGTAATCCCCGCCCCCCTTAGTTACTGGTGCTCCCTCAGACAAACAAACGGAGCTGCTCACTCTCTTACAATGACAGCTGTCCGTGTGAAAACCTTGTCCCACAATGTTTTTGAACAATTTTGGACACAGATGGGCCACCATTCAAGTGTGAATTAAATATTCCATGGAGGGATATATAAAATATTTAAAAATAAATATGGTGGGTAACTCGAAGCGAGTTTACAGATCACAAATATGGTGGGTAACTCGAAGCGAGTTTACAGATCACAATGCAAGCGGGAGAACTCTCATATTACCGTCATCACGATCGCGGATGACAACATGCAGGATCAACACTGTTCATGTATCACAGGGTACAATTAAATTAATGTACATTTAACCAGTTTAATATGGAGAGGCACTGAAATGTAGACCTTCATTTATGTGTTTTTGACCTACATTGTACATGACGTGAGAACAGTCCGCTATTTAGATGGCATTAACGTTCTGCTTGAGCAGATGAAAATTGTAACTTAATGAGAGTATGACAACAAGAAAATTAATGCTTTTGTCTTCATTGGGATTGGGGTTGAATGCTTAGGGACATTTTTCTCTTTTTTGTTTGGGTTTAGGAAATGTACTGTGTCATTTTAATTGCATAGCAGTTCAGTAAACTACAGTGAACTGAAAAAAGTCAATATTTTTACTTAAAAGATTTGCTCACACTGACTCATTCACAACTCATATTCTGTTAAATGTAAGTGAAGTTTTACTGTTTTACATAAAAAAATATCTTAATTTGTGTTCCGAAGATGAATGAAGGTCTTACAGGTTTGGAACGACATGACTGAGTAATTCGACATGGCTCCCTTTAAGAGGATAGTTACCCATAATGAAAATCCTGCCATCATTTAATCACCCAAATTTTCATAAGACTTAAATTAAACCACTCGATTCATATGGAATAATTTTACAATGCCTTAATGGCCTTTTTGGATCCTCTTAAGTTTTGGTTACCTGGACTTTCAGTGGAGACACAGCAACCTCTCAGGTTTCATTAAAAATATTATTAGTCTTATGGATTTGGAACGACACGGCAGTGAGTAATCAATGATGAATTTTTGGGTGAACTATCCCCTTACATGTGTCCATGCACAGATCAGACAACCAATTTCTTATGTGTATTTTCAGGTACAGAGTCTCCAAAGGGTGAGAGCTCCTCATTGGACGAGGACAGTAGTGATGCCCTGTCACCGGATCCCCAGTGCAGTCAGAACTCTCCATTGGGTCTTGCCCCTCAACACTCCCCCTCTGATATGATGAAACTGAATGGAGACCTCTCACCCACTCGGGTATATTTCTGTTTCAGTTGTTCAATATGAGATTAATTAAATATTGCTTTTGTGCTTTCAGTAAGCTAGAGGGCAGCACTGCTCTACATTCATTCAGACACACCCAACATATTATCATGTTGTTTTAAACTTTTTTCAATAGTACACGAAAAGATACATTTAGCAGAATGTCCAAGCTGCTTTTTTCCATTCGTATTTTAATTTGAGTGAACTGTCCTTTTAAATTGTTTTGTATTTTAAATGACCTTGTTATTATAAGCCACATTTGCAAGTTTAAGAACAGAGAGGACAATGTAAGAAATTCATTTAAGACCACATACTGTATTTAACCAGTGTATTTGTTGTAGTTCCTCACTCAGGCCCCACCTTCTCCTCTCGTTGCGTCTGACGCCTCTCCACCACAGAATCTAACCAGTGAAACTAACATGACAAACTCTTCCCGTCCACCGACGGGACATACCAAGGTAAAGTGAAAGCCATCAAACCTATCATGGGTTTCATTTTTCAGTCTAAATCAATAAAAATGTGATTTCATCACTCATTTTCTTTTGATATTCCTTTGCTTTGTCTTCACCATAAGCAGCAGTCCAAGTTCAGCACAGATCGGACATCTCAACGATCCAAGAAACCCAAAGATAACAAGCCCAAAGTGAAGAAACTCAAATATCACCAGTATATCCCACCTGACCAGAAGAATGACCGGGAGCCTCCTCCTCAACTGGACTCCTCATACGCTACACCAGCAGACCAGCAGCAGCTTTTTCTTCAGCTTCAGATCATCAACCAGCAACAGCAGCACTACAACTACCACACTATCACCTCCAAACCTCCAAAGTGAGTACAACCACACAGTTTATGGATACACTTTACTGTGTTGTGTGTAATTGACCTATCGGTAATCCCCGCCCCCCTTAGTTACTGGTGCTCCCTCAGACAAACAAACGGAGCTGCTCACTCTCTTACAATGACAGCTGTCCGTGTGAAAACCTTGTCCCACAATGTTTTTGAACAATTTTGGACACAGATGGGCCACCATTCAAGTGTGAATTAAATATTCCATGGAGGGATATATAAAATATTTAAAAATAAATATGGTGGGTAACTCGAAGCGAGTTTACAGATCACAAATATGGTGGGTAACTCGAAGCGAGTTTACAGATCACAAATATGGTGGGTAACTCGAAGCGAGTTTACAGATCACAAATATGGTGGGTAACTCGAAGCGAAATATTTAAAAATAAATATGGTGGGTAACTCGAAGCGAGTTTACAGATCACAAATATGGTGGGTAACTCGAAGCGAGTTTACAGATCACAATGCAAGCGGGAGAACTCTCATATTACCGTCATCACGATCGCGGATGACAACATGCAGGATCAACACTGTTCATGTATCACAGGGTACAATTAAATTAATGTACATTTAACCAGTTTAATATGGAGAGGCACTGAAATGTAGACCTTCATTTATGTGTTTTTGACCTACATTGTACATGACGTGAGAACAGTCCGCTATTTAGATGGCATTAACGTTCTGCTTGAGCAGATGAAAATTGTAACTTAATGAGAGTATGACAACAAGAAAATTAATGCTTTTGTCTTCATTGGGATTGGGGTTGAATGCTTAGGGACATTTTTCTCTTTTTTGTTTGGGTTTAGGAAATGTAATAAAATAAATTCTATTGCGTATCCTCTCAGGATACCTGAAATCAGTGTTACAAGTACCCCAGGCACATAGTTTTTCCATTTTTGTAGCATAACCACCATCAAACCGATGCGAGCTTCGGATCTTCCAATGTTTCTCTATGGCTCTGAAACCTAAAGATGTCCGAGTTCCGCTCCCCGTGCAACTGATACTCGACTGCCATTGGCTCATCTACGTTCGAGGGGAGGGGCTTACCGATAGGCAGGGGTTAAATTGGGATTTGTTATGTGGGGGGGGTCTTTATGGTTTGGGGCTTATATATATATATATATATATAATATTAGTGCTGTCAAGCTATTAATTGCGATTAATCGCATCCAAAATAAATGTTTTTGTTTATGTAATATATGCGTGTGTGCGCTGTGTATATTTATTATGTATACACACATACAGTATATATTTATATTTATAGAATTTATATTATATATAAATATAACATATTTTTCTTAAATATATACATGCATTTGTGTGTATTTATATATACATAATAAATATACAGTACACACATATATTACATAAACAAAAACTTTTATTTTGGATGTGATTAATCGTTTGACAGCACTAATATATATATATATAATAATAATAATAAAAAATCATAAAATATTTATTCTGAAGCAATATTCTTATCAGTTTTCTATCAGCTGTAACATATAAATCTGCATGCTTTTTATATTTAATCCAAGGGCATTTTTTACCTTTTATAGAGGGCATTTTCCCCCTAACCTCATTAATACTTCATCTTTCATTTCAAATTCTTACATTTAATTTATAAATTAAATTATAATAATGTGGCTATTGTTAGGGATACCACTTTTTCCAGTACTCGCCCGATACTTTTATTTTTGGTACTTGCCGATACCGAGTACCGATACCAATATTTTCATTGCATTTGTAAATTTTTTAAATATTGGGTACAGAAACCAAGAGTATGTATAATGTTAGTTGGTTAACTTCATTTATCAAATAGATACAGTCACACCAAAATTTATTCAGACACCTTCAACATTTCTCACATTATCACAGTTTATTCGCTATAGTTTAGAAAATGACAAGAACTCAGAGTTACACTGTGTCAGAACAAATTCAGCTTGATAATGTCAGATAACTTTGATAGAAAGGTATGTAATGGATTACAATAAACCAAAAATTATTCATACAGCTGTCAATATATACACAACTATCAATACTTTGTCGGGTGACCCTTCGCTTTAATGACAGCATATGTATTCATGCAAACCTGAACTTAAATTTTTTCCCAGACTCTGTCTGAATAATTTTTGGTCCCAAATTTGTATCAATTTTACTGGTAGTCCACTGTATGAAGAAATTTTGGGTTTAATATATCACAGTTTAGTTTATTTTGCTATCCTTACTTTACATAAATGAACTATAGTGTCCTACACACTAGTAAAAAAATATCAAAAATGATATCTGTCTCTGAATAATTTTTGGTTTGACTGTATATCCTGTTTCACACTTAATTATGCTCATTAAAATGTATTTTACAAGTTTGTTACTTTCACTGTTAATTTTTTCTCTCTCTATGGTAGCCTACATCTTTAATTTAATTGCATTAGAGCTGCTCCATTGCAGCGGCTTAGTACTGTAATCACGTGATTTGCTGTAATAATGCAGGGAACCACTCGCTATAAATCTCCTAACTGTGATATTTTCATAAATAGAAGTCGTGTTTTTTTTCATCTGAAATGTGCAGCGATTTATTTTCCAAATTCACTCATATAATGCAGAAACACTCATGAAGCAAGCAAAACGTGCAACGCGGGAATGAGAGGGACAAGTGCATTTCACACAGGCTGTTAGTTTCACTTTTGCCAGAAAGTCGTGCAGGATATTCATTCGACAAGCTCGTGCATCTACGCCGCCGTGCGCTCAATCCACTCAGCGTGATTTGCTTACCAGCTGGCGCAAATCAGCTATACAGGCATTAATACTGAATGTTTTATATTCATTGCATACATATACTTCGTAGACATCTTTAATCCCTAATAACTCCATTCTGTTGTCTGTTGTCGGTGTTTTTTTGTCTGAATATGTCACTTTTCACATGCTGTGGTATCGGCGCATTTTAACGAGTACGAGTATGAGTACAGGAGCTCAGTATCGGGCCCGATACCAATACCAGGATCGGTATCGGTGCATCCTTAATTATTGTTATCTCTACGTTATCAAATTAAAAAATGTACACTAAAAAAAATACAGTTGCATGAATAATGTTATGAGATTATTTTAAATAATTTTGAATATACAAACAAGAAATGGTGGCAATTATACTTTTCAACGAAATTAAAAGGCCAGTAGGTGCCAGTAGTGAGCGTTTAATGAGTGAGTCATTGAGTCGTTCATTCAATACGATTCGTTCAAATGGCAGATTCATCAGATGTTTATGCATGGGCTAATGAAACTTTGACTCAACCGATTCGTTCACAACACGGAATAATTCAGCAATGAATCGGCTGGTTTCTGTGAGATGTGCTATGTTTCCGCCTAAAATGTAAGTGGCCTAATATTATTGTACTTGCTTATTGAAATGTTTATTGAACTATTAAACAGTTGTAATGGTGAAAACGTTGTGTGATGTTGCCTAACTAACTGTATTTTAAATATAAAAACTTTTCATTTTGATTTTTTACCCCAGCATGCTCACTTGTCTGGAGTTAATGTCGAGCCCCGGAGTCAATGTGCCGGGGCTCAAACCCCGGCCCAATTTAAACCCTGCCGATAGGTCAGTTGTGTAATGACTGTGTATGTGCATATTATGTCTGTGTCTGGGGTTGATAAGACTTTTTATTTTATTTTTAAGTATTTATGATAAAAATTTCATTAAAAACCGTAAGATTACATACTTTTGATATTATATATCATACTTTATAATATATCTTAAAATTTAATTTATTCCAGTGATGCAAAACTGAATTTTTAGCAGCCATTACTCTAGTCTTCAGTGTCACGTGATCATTCAGAAATCATGCTAATATGCTGATTTGGTTCAAGAAACATTTCATCAGTAATGTTGAAAACAGTTGTGCTTGTATTATTTTTGTGGAAACCGTAAAACGTTTATTCTTTGCTCAATAGAAAGTTCAAAAGAACAGGATTTCTTTGAAATAGAAATCTTTTCAACATTATAAATGTCATTTTCAGTCGGTTTAATGCATAGTCACTGAATAAAAGTATTAATTTCTTTACTAAAGTCTTACTGACCCCAAACCTTTGAATGCTAGAGCAGTGGTTCTCAACCGGTGTGGGTTGTGACCCAAAAATGGGTCACACATCTGTTTTGCTTGTGTCACAAAAGATTCCAATTTAATATTAAATAAATATTAATATTAAATAATAAAAATAGACAAACTATACAAAATAAAACAAAATATGACCCATATTAAATGCAGGTTACATAAACTGGGTTCTGAAGCAAAGCTTGTTGAGAGCCACCGTTTTAGAAAAGTGTAGACACACCTAACTGATTTAACTATAAATCAAAAATAAATCTGTTAAAATCCAGACTTCCTGCTGAAAAGCAGCAACCATCCACCAATCCAGGCCCCTCCCCTTCCCAGACTATTTCCACATGCTCTACAGTCTCCTCCAATCAGAATGGGCCCAATCGTCAGAGCCAGCCTACAGTGGGAGGAGCTAAGCCCAGCACCTTGCCTGCAAACCTGGATGAATTCAAAGTGGGTAACAGTTGTAATTTATGTACTTATACTAAAGCAATAACACTGACTACTAATGTTGGCGATTTTGGTTCAAGTATTTTTCCCACTTACTCTATGGAGATTTGTAAAAAATAAAAAAAAAATCCTAAATATGGAGTTCTAAGCCATGAACCAAACCAACCAGCTCTGAAATGAATCACACTATTACAACTTTTAGAGAAAATTATGGGAATTGTTACTTCCAGATCCCAACTATTTCACTCTTGTGGATCTCTCTTCCAGGTTGCTGAACTTAAACATGAGCTCAAATTGAGGAAGTTGACTGTATCAGGCACCAAGAACGATCTCATTGAAAGACTGAAGAACTACCAGGAGCAAATCAGTTGTTCATCAGCCACAGGTGCTGCAACTATGAAAACAGTCTCTGCTCATTTACCACAGGTGTCAGTTCAGTCATCTGGTGCCGCCCTACATCAAGCCCCGAAAGACACGATTGTTCCAATGTCATCTTTTCCCGTAGCGGCTACCACTAGGGTCCACAGTACAACTCCACCTCAAATCATGCGCTTCAGCAGCACTAGCTCCTCTCCTCCTGCATCTCCTACCCCCTCTGATCGCTCTCTGGCTGGATTGAGTCCTGATGAGACCAGCTGCAATGGGGATGTGTTTGGAGAAATGGTAGGTCTGTGGTTTAGAAGATGCACAGCAGAAACCGTGAAAAGAAAATTAGGGGTGTGGCCCTGTTTAATTTCTTTTTAAGAACTTGTGTTTCTCCATTAACAGGTTACCTCACCTCTCACCCAGCTCAGCCTGCACCCCTCTCCAGACCACCCATCCCCAATTAAAGAGGAATCTCATGGGCAGATGCAGGCCTCCTGCTGCCTTTCTCACCCGGGGCCCCTGTTAGCCGCACAGCCTCATGATCCAAGTCCAGTGGCAGCATCGGGATCTGCTGTGTCTCCTCTGGACAAAGACCAAATGCTTCAAGAGAAGGACAAGCAGATCGAGGAGTTGACACGCATGCTTAGGCAGAAGCAGAGACTGGTGGAGACCCTGCGTTCTCAGCTGGAGCAGGGTAAGCGTGGAGCAGCCGCAGAAGTTACAGACAACATGGTTAATGCTGAAATACCATTGCTGTCTAACGGAGTGGAAGTGAAGGTAAAGGAAGAGATTAAGGATGAAATGGACACAACCGAGGACCTGCAGAAGCAAGTCCAGCCCCAGAAGAAGATCCAGATGCAGTGTTCGCAGCAGACTCTGCTCAAACTGCAGCAGATTCACCGGCTGCAGGTGCAGCAGCAGCAGCAAATGCTGGTGGACCTACCAAACGTACAGCAACAGAAGACACAGTTACTGCAACAGCAAAAACAACAGCAGCAAATGGGCCCACTGAAACTGCAGCAAGAGCAAGTAAAAACACAGGTGTTGCTGTTGCAGCAGCAGAAGACGCAGTTACTGCAACAGCAGCAGAAAGCGCAATTACTGCAGCAGCAGAAGGCGCAGCTACTGCAGCAGCAGAACGTAAAGTTACTACAACAGCAGCAACAGAAGACTCTGTTACAACAGCAGCAGAAAACTCAATTGCAAAAGAAGACACAGTTACTGCAACAGCAGCAGCAGCAAAAGTTGCAGCAGCTAATCATCCAGCAGAGGCAGCAAAATCAGCTGCAAAGCAATCAGAAGAAGCAGCAGAAGCCTCAAAATCAGCCACAGCAGCAGTTGCAGACACCACAGGTCAGCCACGTTTCCAGCTTATCAAATACCTTAGATATTGATTTAGATGGCATTGTATGTTTTTTATTTAATGCCATTCTTGCCACTGTTTTACATTGTTTTTTGTTTTTTTTACAGGTTTCACAGGTGTTTGTCAATCAGCAGTCTAGCACTCAAATTACTACGTCTTTCCCACTGGATCTCCTGAAAGCTCATCCCACACCCACTTTGGTCACTGACAGCAATGGCAACCGCTATCTGATTGCACTCACCAGTAATAGTGTTGATACCCTGACTGGAAAGTCTCCTCAGAGCAAATCCAATGGACAAATCACTCTACAGGTGACTAAACAACAGTTTATCTATTAATATCTTAATTTCATTTATATATACTCTACTGTTTAAGTTTGTGGTCTGTACATTTTTTAATAGTTTGTGGATTAATGGATTTTGATTAAAGAATATTTTTTAATTTAAAATATCTTGTATCCATTTTAATGTTTTAAATGTACTTTATTCCTTGAATGGCAAAGCTGATTTTTCAGCAGCCAGTACTGCAGTCTTCAGTGTCACATGATCATTTAGATACTATTCTAATATGCTGATTTAGGGCTAAAGAAAAATGGTCTTATCAATGCTGACATTTTTTCTTTATATAATATTTATCTCAATTGTTGGTTTGTTGTGTTTCAGAGATTGCAGTCGACCCCTACCAAGCTCCCTAGCCAGTCATCTACTGATATGGCTAGTTCTGCCAACCAATCACAGAGTATCAGAGAGCCCATCACAAAAGTATGTGCATATAACATGTGGATGTGCTTTTTTCAAACTTGTTACAGTTATGAAAAATAGCATGAATTAGAGAGCTCTGTTGATTTGAACGCTGAAGTCTAAAGGTACATGAAATACTAAGATGTACAGCAGATATGTACAAATAGTGTATGATGAAAGACAATAAGCATGTTATTTTCAACCTATGAGCCAAAATTTGTTAATTTAAGGATTTTTTGACTATTCTGCAAGTTTGAAATCAACATAGAGTGAACATCACATGGATTTGCTTGATTCACACTAGATTTGAACAGACTCTCAGGATTTTTCCTCAGCCATTCAAAAGCAATGTCATGGTCCAGTAGTACAAAGGAATTGCATGTTTGCCCTGTGATGTGCACTTAATTACAGTTGTGCATTAAATTATTGATATAAAAAGGTATTCAAATACATGTGTTAGGGATGTTCATTTAGGTTATTTTTCCTAACAGACAACCGACGCTTGTTAACCGACGCTTGTTAACCGATTATTAACTGTTAACCGACAAGATTATTTTAAATTAGAATTTAATTAAATTAGAAAGGATAAGTGTCTGTGACCCGTTAAAAGCAAAAAGCAGCAAAAAACAGAACATGAGGATTCACTTGGCCATCATATCACATCACGCACCTGCAGCGCTTCTGCGAGTGGAGAAAAACATAATAAAGCTAGGCTATATACAGTATATATACATATATAATCACTCAAGTGATTGCGCCGGCGCCACATACGCGCACACAGTTAAGCATTGCTACCTTGACAATGCAGCCTGTTCATTATCATAATAAAATACAGTCAGTCAAACATATGGAAAAAACACACTGCTCAGTTTAAGTATGTAGTAAAATCTGTGCCATTAAGTGTTATCACAGTACCACCGTGATGTTATGCAAAACATTTTGTTTTACGTGGATATTGGAATGCCAGTGAAGTAGATTACATAATAAATAATAATTTGCAATTCAAATACATCACAAATACGGAAACATTTGATTTTGTGTGGAATGAGAGACCCAACGTTGGTTTCAGTTTCATTTTAGCATAAATTAATTCATTTTGGCTTGTCGTTTATATTGCTATAGCTTCTTATATATTTAATTCTTATTCTTTTCTAAATAGGCCTACTGTTAATTGAAAGGCTTTGTTGTGGAATGAGGGGAACTAAAATAGCCTAGCTATGTTTGCAGTGTTTATTATAATGTTTGTAAACATTTTGCGGTCGGCATTAAGCCTATTTCTGAATTAAATAATAAAATGCGACTTATACGCGACTTTTTTTTTTTCTCTAAAAAAAACCAAAAAAAATGTATACGCGTAGTGTATTTTAAACCATGCAGCAAATCTTTTTAAATATTTTTGAAATTACTGAAAAAATAAATAAATGACTTTTTCAACCATTTAACTGATTCTATTAATAGGTCAAAATTCTATACGGTCGGTTAACCGGTTAAAATGAACATCTCTAACGTGTGCATTTGTGGATTGTATTGAGAGCTAACAAAACCATGTATATGCACTATAGTCATAGTAATCACTGGAATATAAGGGGATGGGCTGCAGATAGTTGTTCTTTCTCTCCTCTCCGCAGCTGACCCATGTTAATGGGGTCATACGATGCTGCTAAAAATTGGCCAGCTATCCAGTGCATTGTGATTGGCCGAATACCTCAAGCGTGTGACGGAAGTGTTACGCCCCTTACCATACTGTGATGATGCCCTGTCAGGCCGGAGTGATGATTCAAAAACATGAAAACCCATTATAAATGAGGCATTCGTTGCATCCAGTGGGGACATAATTATGGATTATAATGACTTATACTGTCTTTTTACGCGTTGTGTTGCATCGCGCCGCGTAAACACAAAACCATGTCTGCATTTGTGATCTGAATAATGACAAACAACAAGCCCTACTCTACACTCCCCAAAAAAACTTGCTTTAAATATATAAAATATAAAAACTCTTTTGAGAGTTGAGTCAGAACAGCCGGCATTGTAGTCTACTCTCCCAGGATCAGGAAACGGTCCTCCATAAAATGTGCTGCACACATCTGCATATTTGGGTTGAAGTGTTCTGGAACAGTGTTGTAAATACAACTTAACCACTGATTTCTAGTCATGTCCATTTTTGGAAGGCCAAGCAAAGTAGTTTCGCTTTCACAACGAAGCACAGCGTCACACACGGCGGCCTAGAGTGAGCAGAGGCCGGGGGCTTGAGTGAGCGGCGGCCGGCTAGAGTGAGCGGAGGCCGGCGGGCTTAAGAACGGTGCGGCAGGCGGGCTTGCGGCAACCACATGTGATGACCCCGGGCTGGACTCCGCTTCGTCCACGGTAAATGCCGATCCGGTGATCCACAGCGCAAAGTTGTAGTATTTCCTCAGCAACCAGCACGGATCAGCTCCAGGCATGACAAAGCAGATATTGTCCTCTTTTGGAAGGCCAAACAAAGTAGTTTCACTTTCACAACGCATCACACAGTGCCTTCACGACATGGCGGCGGCAACAACAATACTACAGCGAGAATAAAAGTTACGCCTTCTTTCTTTGCGTGAACATTTCGGGCGGCGTAATGCAAATCTTCCCACATAGTGATGTAGATATGTGGGAGCGTGTTAGAACAAGCCGTTTTAGGTAGGCGTGGCTGAAATCGCATCTTATGACCCCTTTAAAATCTCCCATTTCCAGGTACAGAAAGTAGGGCTCCACTTGGAAACCACCCGTGTTAAAGAGTCTAGCCAGCCAGTGTCTGCACCACCCAGCTTTGAGCCCTTCTTCTGTGAGGAATCCAACCCACTCAGCAAACTCTCCTCACCTCCTTCGTTTAAGGTATTGCACATGCATTAATAATGTTAGTACCCTTTTTCTCTTTGCCTTTTTCCTCCTCCTTGCTTTGTTTCGAGCTAAAGCTAGTATTTCTTTATCCATCTTCCTCTACCCATCATCTCCATCAATTCTAGGAGGACATTTGCCCAACTTTTGATAGACACACTTTATTCACCCCTTCCTTCCCAAAGCCGAACCCTCACCCTCCTCAGCGTTTCAAAGTATGCCTTTTACTCATTCTTTCTTTCTTCTTTGTTCTTTCTCTTTAATTTTTTCACCTTCTTTTCCTGTTTAAACCGTTTTTTTTCTTATTGTAACATTGATGGTATTGTCTGTTTACAGGATAATGTCTCAAACAACCAGCAAATAGATGATCTGTTTGAAATCCTGATCAAGAGTGGAGGTAAAAGGGTCTTTTTACTTTAGAAATTGATCATTTTATTCAGCAAGGATGCTTTCAATTGATCCAAAATGACAGTGAAGACATTTATAATATTTAAAAGAATTATTTTTCAAATAAATGCCGTTCTTTTTAGCTTTCTATGTATCGAAGAATCCTGGGGGGGGAAAAAGAATCTACGAAAATATTAAGCAGCAACATTGATAATAAGAAATGTTTCTTGGGGACCAGATCAGCATATTAGAATGATTTCTGAAGGATCACATGGCTGCTGAAAATGAAGCTTTGTAATTTTAGGAATAAATTACATTTTAAAATAGATTAAAATAGAAAGCAGCAGTAACAGTATTTAACAAAATTACAGTTTTTACTGTATTTTGATCAAATAAATGCAAACTTGGTAAGCATAAGAGACCGTCAACAAAAAAAATATCTTACCCACCTCAAACTTTTGAATGGTAGTGTGTGAATATATATAAAAAAATAAAAAACCTCTCTTCTTTCTCAGAAATTTCATCTGGGTTTAAAGCCAGTCAAGACCCCTCCCTGTCAGACCTCCACACAAGCCCACCCACTCCATCTCCACCTCCTTCTCCGCTCCACCTCTCGCCACCCAAACATCACCCTGACCCCGTCCCCGCCCCTTCCCAGCAGCTCCCGGACACCCAGTACAGGCCTTGCTCTGGAACCGGTCGCCTGGAGGACTTCCTGGAGAGCACCACTGGTGCTCCTCTTCTCGGCGTGGAGCCGGGCGGCCCGTTGACGTTAATCGATGACCTCCACAATCAAATGCTGAGCACTTCCAGTATTCTGGACCATTCCCCATCTCCAATGGACACCAGTGACCTGAGCTTCTCACCCCACCCCGCCAGCCTGGACTTTGAAGACCCCACCTTGGATGGCGAGTGGTGATTTTTAAGGGAGTTCGGGAAAGAGTCATACTATTACGTGGAATTAACGTGTGGAAGTATAAATGCAGCAGTAACCAAACACAGTCTGCTAAAAGCGTTACGACGTTTGAAAAGTTTTATTTTGTGAAGAGACATTGTTTGAGGTACAAATCCACATTTGAAAACTGATTCATAATTTCAAGCATTACTTTTTTGGGTTTATTTGGTGGTTACTCGTATATACTCAAAACGTGAATATAAACCCGTAAATTTCCTTTCAAAATAGCCTTTCTTGTTTTATTTCTTCAGTCGTTGTTAAAAGCCCTTATATGAATATATGAAGTTAAATAATCTAACACAGTTTTTACACAATACTGTAGGCATTACTAACGTAACAAATAGCATTTATACTAACACTCGAATTGCAGATCTCTTTAGTGTAGTTCCTAAATATTCTCTTATTAAATAATACAAGTCTTGTACAGAAATATATATTTACAGAAATATTTGTAGTATGCTTAATATACATTTAAAAACAGAAAAAGCAGAAGTGCCCAGTTCACAGGAGGGTTGAAGAAAAGCAAAACACACGCAGTACAGTATAGGACGCACTTATAAGTACATATATTTTACTACTAAAACCTTTTAAGGAACATCACACTAGCAAGAGTGCTGTTGATCTGAATGATAAGCTGTGCTAATATTCAGACAGTGAGTGTGATATATTACTTTTATACAACAGTTTAACAAGTAACAGTGTGGAATAACACTGATTTCCCCTCCTTGTTCAAAGAGTTCTCTAATCACTATGGGTTTTACATTTCCCAATCCCACTAGCTGGGGATTTTAGTCATAGCAGAATATGAATTTGAATCTCCAGGTTCTACTGCAGATTATTAGCTGACACAGTTAGCTTGGATCCTGAAGTGGCATACTTTTCCCCGTCAGACTTGCTATATGGTATTGAAGTAAATCTTGTTTTTGCATTTGGATACATTGTTTCTGAGGTAAAAGTTCTGGTAACTCTCTCCAGTGATCCAAGTGAAAGGAAGGACACACAAGTATAAGGTAAACAGTGCAAGGCTCGCCTACAAGAGAGCTAGTGCTCGTGAGATCTTGATTTCAAGAATGGTTAATTCACTAGAGCTGATATTTTTGCCATTGCATAGCTTGTTTTACAAGATTGATGTGCTTCATTCCCAGTTCCAAGGTCCGGATTATTGCTCAGAGCTGCTGGCATCATTTCTTCAGCCTCACACCATGAGGCAATCCGCCTTGGTCAATAATCTGTAAAGTGAGCTACTCAGCATGACCGTGAGGACTGGACACTTTTAGTCAGACGGTCTTGTGTAACGGAGGAGATAGTGAAGATCAGACTATTTTTAAGCAAACAAGAGATTAAAAAAACAGGAATAAATTGAAGATAGATGCTTGATAATGTCTTCACTCCATGACTGGAGTGATTTGAATGTAAAACTATAATGAAGACTCATGAAACAAGATTTTCTTTGTTTCCACAGAAAATTCATCCAGGACAGAGCCGATAGCCTTGTGGGCAGCATTCTGCCATGCAGTTCATAATCTGACCAGAGTTTGAGTCCTGTTTTGGGGTCCTTTCTCAATCCCAACCTTCTTTTGCTTCTACTTTGCTTCCTGTTAAAGTGATAGTTCATGCAAAAATGAAAATTCTGTCATTAATTACTCGCCTTCATGTTGTTTCAAACCCGTAAACCCTTCATTAAGATTCGGAACACAAATTAAGATATTTTGAATGAAATCCGAGAGCTTTCTGACCCTGCATAGAAAGCAATAGAACTACCACATTCGAGGCCCAGAAAGGTAGTAAGGACATCATTAAAATAGTCCATGTGACATCAGTGGTAATTTTATGAAGCTACAAGAATACTTTTAGCATGCAAAGAAAACTGGGTAACTTCTCTTCTGGGTAATTCTTCGACACACGTTCACAAGTGTACCACGACGCAATGCATGTGCATTCCTCTGCTTGCAAAAAGCCACAGCACATCCAGGAAGAAGAGAAGAAATTGTTTAATACATTTATTTTTGTTTTCTTCTGCCACAAAAAGTATTCTCGTACCTTTATAAAATGACAGTTGAACAACTGATGTCACGTGGACTATTTTAACAATGTCCTTAATACCTTTTTTGGTCCTTGAACGTGTCAGTTGTGTTGATGTATATGCAGGGTCAGAAACCTCTTGGATTTCATCAAAAATATATTAATTTGTGTTCCTAAGATGAACTAAGGTCTTCGGGTTTGGAACAACATGAGGGTGAGTAATAAATTACGGAATTTAATTTACAGAATTTTGGGTGAACTATACCTTTAAGTTCTGTCCCAAGAATGCCAAACATGCCAAAAATAAAACAAAAAAAAATCTGTATTCAGAGAAAAATAAGAAAAATGCATCTAGACAGTTTTCAGCTTTGAGAAATGTCTTTCTCAGTATAAATGTTTCATGGTTCTTTATCAGGCTTGTCAAGTTAGTGTTATATTCACTGACAGATCAACTTCAAATTTAATTTACAGAATTTTGGGTGAACTATACCTTTAAGTTCTGTCCCAAGAATGCCAAACATGCCAAAAATAAAACAAAAAAAAAATCTGTATTCAGAGAAAAAGAAGAAAAATGCATCTAGACAGTTTTCAGCTTTGAGAAATGTCTTTCTCAGTATAAATGTTTCATGGTTCTTTATCAGGCTTGTCAAGTTAGTGTTATATTCACTGACAGATCAACTTCGTTCTTTTGTACAAAGGTGATTATAACCCACAGGAACCGGATTGGTATGCCTTATGTTTTTTTTCTCAACATCATTCCCCTAAAACAAATGAGTAATTTAATGAGTGACGTTCTCACAGCGAGACTACCCAAGCTGGAGAGGAAGACCGTGAAATTTGCTCAAGCTCGAAAAACCTTTCTTCATGAGCACAAAATCCTCAACTCACTCAGCAAAGCTTTAACTTAAATCCTAGTGTGAGACCAGGCGTCTGGGTGTTGCTCTTTGCCTCTTCTTGGGCAGGAGAACAAGTTTGTTTTGTGTCTTTTTTCATATAAGGAATCCTGAGGTTGTGTTTACCTAAAGATGGGCAGGATCTTTAAGGGAACGTCCCTTAATGACATAGATTTAGGCTGACGTGATGATGGCATTGTCCCCATTGAGCTAATGTGGCTTCGGGCTCCAGTCCTGTGTTCTGATGTGAACACTCACCTCGTTGTCAGTGACACAGAGGCCAGAGATGAACTCAGAAAAGTGGGTCGCATATAAACTATATAAAGAGGGGTTTAACACTGAAAGTAGAAATGACTACGTAGTCCTGACATTGTAGTATTTGTGCATTCAGTCTGATAACAGTCAGCAGTGTTGTTTCTTTCTTTCCCATTTCCTCAGACAGTGACCTCCGTCTTGCTGTTGGTCTGGTAGGCCTTATGTTTGTAATGTGGCTGATACAGTGGTTGTCCCGCATAGGCTGTGGGCTGGGAGAGGAACTCTGGTAGTGTTTCTATGCTGTACTGTCTCCTGCTGCTGTAGGTCTGACGGCGAGCGGAATGCCCTGGATGCGAAGTCTGCCGGTGGACATGTCTTTGTCCAGAATCCCAAGCTTTGAAGGCTGAGCTGGAAAGCTGAGGGTGGGTAATGGTTTTTGGGATGCGGGTCCTCTCCAGCTGGTTGGTTGGGATTGAGATCGAAAGGGGGGAATGGATGTCATGGGAAGGGAGGACCTGGTGGAGGTAGGACTTGTCTTTCTGGTGCATCGGCATTGATTGGAAAGGTGCAGGAGGGGAATGATGCTGAGAGAAATCCATTAGTGGATAACTTTTGTAGTAGCCCCTGCTCGCAGTGTCGGCTATAAGAGAGAAGAAGAAATGGAAAAAGTTTGAGAGGGACAAAAATTTACATTGCACAATTATAACTGAGTTGCACCGGGCACATTTATAGTCAAGCTATAAGTTTTCATGTGGCTACTTCGCATGTAAACAAACATGAGATGCGAGGAAAAATTATATTTGAATACTTTTGTGTCAGTTCAACAGACATGAGATGCGAGAACTAATCATCTCCTCCACATTAATACCAGCTTCAGCACAAAATAAACATGACTAAACATCCGAAAGGTAAGTTAAAAGAAAGAGTACAACTTTACAATCAGTGTTTTGTCTCGTGTAATCGCTCAATCAGTGTTTCAGCCACGCAAAGACGTCAATATAACAGCTTGTAAACAATGTCACGTAGTGGCAGTGATACATTTTCACATTTATCTCTGAAAAAACATATTTGGTGAACATAAACTCATTAGTCAAATAGAAAAATAAACTGTAGAAAGGGGCATTTAGCTAAATACTGTATATGCACCATATAAAATATTCATTATAAATTTTACTGTTCTTCAATGTTTAATTTATGTTTGAATAAATCCATCAAGATTTTATGACAGCCACCATTGTTTATATTATTACAAAAACCCGAATTGAAATAGAAATATTATGATGTAATTGTAACTTTATTATTTTAAAAACTTAAGTGTAATTTTAACAAATTTAAAATTAGCTTGTGAATGAGAATCAAATCATGAAATTTGTGTCAAAACCCAGCCCTACTATTTATTCAGCAGCAGTATATCTTAAAGGGGTCATATGATGTTGCTAAAAAGAACATTATTTTGTGTATTTGGTGTAATGAATGTGTTTATGCGGTTTAAGGTTAAAAAAATACATTATTTTCCACATACTGTACATTATTGTTTCTCCTCTATGCCCCACCTTTCTGAAACGCATCGATTTTTACAAAGCTCATCGGTCTGAAAAACGAGGTGTGCTCTGATTGGCCAGCTATCCAGTGCGTTGTGATTGGCCGAATACCTCAAGCATGTGACGTAAGTGTTACGCCCCTTACCATACTGTGATGCCGTGTCCCGGCGCTACGTGACAAAACCAGTAAAACCCATTGTTTTCGTGTGGCTACTTCGCATGTAAACAAGCATGAGATGGGAGGAAAAATTATATTTAAATACTTTTGTGTTCTCTCACAAAAGTTTTGCATTTCCCTAAGAATCTTTGCGTTCACTTGCAAACGTTATATTTAAAGAGCAGCACTAGAGCAGTTCACAGTGTACTTTTTATATTTCCTCTGAAACCCTCCACTTTCCCCAGCTCCACCTGTATGGATCTGCTATGGGGTATTATATGCTATTTATTAAAAAATATCGATATGTCGATATTAATCGATTCTCATTTTTACGGAATGATATCGATCCTTAAATCCCAAGAATCGATTAGTCTAGCTTGAGGCATTTGCTGCATCCAGTGGGGACATAATTACGGATTATAATGACTTATATTGTCTTTTTTTCGTGTTGCATTGCATCTTGCCATGTAAACATAAAACCATGTCTGCATTTGTGATCTGAGAAATTATAAGCAACAAGCGCTACTCTACACTGCTCAAAACTTGCGTTTGAATCATAAGTGGCAAATCCTTAAAATGAAAACGTACTTACAGTCTGTGAGTCAGAACAGCCGGCATTGTAGTCTACTCTAACAGGATCAGGAAACAGTCCTCCATAAAATGTGCCGCACACATCTGAATATTTGGGTTGAACTGTTCTGGAACAGTGTTGTAAATACAACTTAACCACTGATTTCTAATCATGTCCTCTTTGGAAGGCCAAACAAAGGAGTTTCACCCAGCGGGCTAGAGTGAGCAGAGGTGGCGGGCTTGAGAACGGCGCAGCCAGCGGATTTGACGAAGAAGCGGCCGGTGGGCTTGTGGCAACCACATGTGACGACCCCGGGCTGGACTCCGCTTCGTCCACGGTGAAAGCCGATCCGGCGATCCACAGCTCGAAGTTGATGTATTTCCTCAGCGACCAGCTCGGATCAGTTCTAGGCATGACGAAGCGGATATAGTCCTCTTTTGGAAGGCCAAACAAAGTAGTTTCGTTTTCACAACAAAACACACAGCGCCTTCACAACATGGCGGCAGCAACAATACTACAGCGAGAATAAAAGTTACGCTTTCTTTCTTTGCGTGAACATTTGGGCGGCGTTATGCAAATCTTCCCACATCGTGACGTAGACATGTGGGGGTGTGTTAGAACGAGCCGTTTTAGGTAGGCGTGGTTGACTCTTAACTTTTATAAAGAATATCTCTTTGGATTTGAGACTTTAGTCTTTGCAGCTTTACAGATCTTCTTTATGCACCAAGAGCTTGTAACACTCCAAAGAGAAAGGAAAAATTTAAATCGCATCATATGACCCCTTTAAATACTTAGAGCACAGTATCAGCATACTGGCAGTAACAAGTGCCTTTGCAGCAGCAGCAATAATCTACAACTACAGCAATAACCAACAGCAGCAGCATAGCAGATCTATTCCACCAAGACCAAATACATTAACATTGTCATTTATTACCATGCTAAAATCTTCAGGGAGTTGTCATGATAGAAATAATATAATGAGCATCATTGGAAATCCGTCTAATGAAACCATGAGTTTGACGTATCACCTTTCAGTCGAGTTTTGATGAACCATATGAAACAGCAGTATCTGTATTCTTGTTGAGATGTCCACTGAGAGCTTGTCCATTTTTATTAAACACTGACTTTATGCTGCCTGAAATGTTTAAAGGTCATGCCTTGGACATGAGTTATCTTTCTTCTCACTGTATTTACCTGCGAGCTGCTCGCTCTGTCTCATCTCATTAATGTCTCCTAGCTGTTCTTGTTCTTGCATTGCATTAAATCATGAGGACTTAGAAGGTGTGTACATGTGCGTATATCAGGGGACATATTGTATATGGTCCTACATGACTGAATTAAAAAAAAGAAGAAAAAAAGGATTGAGTACACTTCCTGTGGATGTTCTTTTGGTCTTAGCCTCATCAAATCCAATATCAAATTTATAAACTGATGTCAGATGGCGTTCGTTCAAGTAACATAGTCATCGAGTTATTTTTTCCTTTTTTCTCATTCATTACCTTTTTGCCACAAGGTGATTCAAACAGATGACATCTGAACAGCCTCCAGATTACTTCAAAGGCTGTATTGTCAGTGCACATAATCATCATCATCATCATCACGGTGCGTAGATTGCAGACCATCCTGGCGCGCCTTGGACATGAGTTATCTTTCTTCTCACTGTATTTACCTGCGAGCTGCTCGCTCTGTCTCATCTCATTAATGTCTCCTAGCTGTTCTTGTTCTTGCATTGCATTAAATCATGAGGACTTAGAAGGTGTGTACATGTGCGTATATCAGGGGACATATTGTATATGGTCCTACATGACTGAATTTAAAAAAAAGAAGAAAAAAAGGATTGAGTACACTTCCTGTGGATGTTCTTTTGGTCTTAGCCTCATCAAATCCAATATCAAATTTATAAACTGATGTCAGATGGCATTCGTTCAAGTAACATAGTCATCGAGTTATTTTTTCCTTTTTTCTCATTCATTACTTCCTTTTTGCCACAAGGTGATTCAAACAGATGACATCTGAACAGCCTCCAGATTACTTCAAAGGCTGTATTGTCAGTGCACATAATCATCATCATCATCATCACGGTGCGTAGATTGCAGACCATCCTGGCGTTGGATTTTTGTTTGGTAACAATCAGATACAGACGTGTTCATATGTGTAAGTAGCTAATAATGTGACAGAATCCTTGTGATTCAGACACTATTAGCTTAACATGTTCCCAGAATGTAGGGCAGGCTCCTGCCTGAAAGTAAATGGACTACAAGAAGCACCTCTCAAGCCCACAGCTCTCTTTTTAAAATGAGTCTTTCTTTGGCAAAATGCAATGAGATCTGTTTATCATTTGTTTATTAAACTTGACGCTTTCACACAAACTGCATCAGTGTTCACAACAACAGATGATAAAGTTCTGTTTATTATTACTATAATGACTTAAATGCTTGAGCTTTTTTTATTTTTGATTGGCTTAATGTTTTTATCCTTCATCAGCTGGAAAGAAAAATAGCTCTGGAAGTTATTCCATCAATATTGTCCCTCTGTTTTGCTATCGTTATAGTTGTGGTCTGGACTTCGCTATTCTCATAGAATTAGAAAAATCCTTATAGGTATCTTTATAGTTATTGTACTTGGTGAGAACAGCCCTTTACTCCACACCATGTAGTTGGTTATGCAGTAGAACATTTTGGTTATCTACATTGTGGGGAAAAATGAATCAGATGAGACAAAACTTGAAAGAAAGGAGATTTTCTCCACGAGATCAGATGAAGAAATTACTCTACAGATTAAGGGTCTATATAAATAAAGCAAATTACTAGAAGTTTTTTAAAGCTTTGCTGTTGCATGTTTAAATTGCAGATGTGGCTATTTACCAGAATACTATGCAGTAGAACATTTTGGTTATCTACATTGTGGGGAAAAATGAATCAGATGAGACAGAACTTGAAAGAAAGGAGATTTTCTCCATGAGATCAGATGAAGAAATTACTCTATATAAATAAAGCAAATTACTAGAAGTTTTTTAAAGCTTTGCTGTTGCATGTTTAAATTGCAGATGTGGCTATTTACCAGAATATGTCATTTTAATAGTTTTTGTGTACAGCTGTCCACTGATTAACTTATAAACAAAAGATAAATATTATGCATCCTGAATAATAAAAGCATCAGTTTGAATGAAGATATAAAAATGCAGCTTAGACTAAAAATAAATCTGATTTCCACTCTACACTTCTTTTGCTATTTTAAAGGTCTGATGAGAAAATATGCAACATCTTTTGTGTAGTGAGGATTACGTGTGTAAATCTGACAAAACACTTGAATATGCAACTCTGTCTTGATGTGTTGTCACCAGCACTGGATGTTAAATTGAGTACCGGGGTGAAACAAGAGTAACCTTGTAGTGCCCCAACTGTGGTCCTCACCACACCAGAGGGCTTCCCTGATTCTGTCAGTCAAACTTAGGGACTGTTGTTTATGGCATCCAGCAGAGCATGAAATAATTCAACATCTGTGAATGAAGTGTGCTTGTGCACATAGTAACATTACCAACTGCTTTCAGAGAGTTGTACTTATTCAGCGCCAGGCCTGGTATACTGAGGTTGCTTTGAGGATGAGAGAGTCTGCCCGATGTACCAAAAGGGAAGCCAGCGTTGTTTAGATGGTACTGCTCTGGAATACAGAAGAACAGTAGAAGAACATTAAAAAGACTCTGTATGTCATCACATCAGTATTTCATGTATAAATAATATATACATGTATTTCATAAATACCCTAGTAAAGACATTTGGGCTTCTATTCCAAATAAATGCTGTTCAAAAATGTATCACATTTTCCACCAAATCAGCATATAGAATGATTTCTGACAGACCATGTGACACTGAAGAATGGAGTAATGACTGCTGAAAATTCAGCTTTGCGTCACAGAAATAAAATAAAAATATAACATTTGTAAATTGCAATTATATTTCACAATATTAAATTTTTTCTGTATTTTTGATCAGATACATGCATTCTTGGTGAGCATAAGTAGCATTACAAATCTTAATCAAAATTTTATATATATATACACTCTAAAAAATGCTGGGTTAAATACAACTCAGCGCTGGGTAAAATATGGACAAACCCAGCGATTGGGTTGTTTTCAACCAACAGTTGGGTTAAATGTTTAACCCAACCTTCTGGGCAGTAACCCAACCACTGGGTCAAAACAACCCATTAGCTGGGTTTGTCCATATTTTACCCAGCATTGGGTTGTATATATATATATATATATAATGACATTTTAATTTCAGGTGAGAACACTAGCACAAACTACACTGTTACAATGCAGAAAAACATGCTGTGTCTGTGTTTAAGTCACTTTGTAGAACTGCAGTAGAGACCTATTTAAATCCTCTCTATATGCTGCGATCCTATATTGACCACTGAGATGTGGTTCAGCCTGAATGACCTAATTTTCCTTGTAAGCTGTGGGTGACAGCACAGGAAGGACATTGATGCAATTAATGAACGTTAGATGTTGCTTTCCTTCTTTGCTGTTTGTTCCATTACTCATTAGTCACATTTCATTTAACATGAGCGGTGTATTGAGAGATGTGGACAGCCGTTCTTTTAGGGTGAACATGTGTTACACATTCTGAAATCACCCTGGCATTTCCTTGTAGCGGTAAACAGTGTTTTTAATGCTTTAAATGAATGTTGCATGAAAGCCAAGAGCATACCCTTCAGTGGGTTCATTTGGACAAGTACGCTTAGACCCAGAGTACCCAAAAACCCTGTCCGGGGCAGTTCTGATGTCATTATGTGGCATCAAAGGCATGTCTGGCTAATTCTGATGTTTATTTGCATGCAGTTTACATGCTTGCGCAAGATCATTTGCAGCATTTCACTGCTTTTAGGTGTAGGTGTAGATTAGTCTTTTATATTGTTAAGGGAAGTATTATCCTTTTCACCAGCTCTCTTGATCAACTGAGAATGTGGTGCCCTGAGGACATTAGCTTTAATACAACATCAGCAGTGCAGTTAACCACCATTTACTATCTGTGTGCCCTCTTGACACTCTCTGCTGTTTTTGATAATGATGAAGAGTAAAGGAAGAAACTAATGAAAGGGGTTTGTCAGGGTAAAGCATCTCTCTGGGTGCAAGTCTTGGCATCACAAAGAGAAATCAAAGCAGATTGTTCGTAAGATTAAGTGTATGTGATGTAATTGTATGAGAAGGGTAGAAAAGAGAGGGTGATGTCCTCTGTGCACGTTAATGTCTTCATTAGGTATTTCTGACTAGACCTTTGAAGTCAAAATCATCGTCAGGAATTCCAGAGGGGTAATAGCTTTTGATGCATTATGTCTTTTTTTTTTAGGGCTGTGTGTATTGCGTACTGAGAATTTTAGCTGGATATTAATAAAGTCATGCATATTTCCAAAGTTTTCCAGTTTTCAGATTCCTGAAGGTCCTAAAGCACAGCATTATTGCCGTCCATGTGATCATGAGAGTGACATTTTAAAATCTAATGTATGATAAAATGTTATCAAAAATGACAATAGTTTTCATTAGTTGAAATGAAGCGGAAATAAAATCAAATATGAAAAACTTAAATGAAAATTAGAAATGCTAAACTAAAACTGAAATAAAATAAGTTGAAATTGAAGTTAAAATAAACCTAAATGCATTAAATTTATTTAGAAATTGAATAAAAAATTATAATAAAATAAAATGACAAGCATTTAAAAAAATTTAAAAAACTGAATGTAAAATTGAAATCAAAGCTAACATACATTCAGCTAATTCAAAATATGAATAAATACTTAAAAATAAATATATTTACTACCAGTCAGAAATTTTTGAACAGTAAGATTTGTAATGTTTTTTAAAGAATTCTCTTCTGCTTACCAAGCCTGCATTTATTTGATCCAAAATACAGCAGAAGCAGTAATATTGTGAAATATTTTTACTATTTAAAATAACTGCTTTCTATTTGAATATATTTTATAATGTAATTTATTCCTGTGATCAAATCTAAATTTTCAGCGTCATTACTCCAGTCTTCAGTGTCACATGATCCTTCAGAAATCATTCTAATATGCTGATTTGCTGTTCAAGAAACATTTATTATTATTATTATTATTATTATTATTATTATCAATATGTAAAACAGTTGAGTATATTTTTTCAGGATTTTTTTGGCCACATAACCACTTCGGGAGTGCATTATTTCTCTAATAATTTGAACGGCCTGGGATCACAATCACACATCAATTGTTCAGATGATTTGTTTCAATGACATGTTTCCGTCCTGTAATATCATGTGTGTTGAACTAGCTAATTTTTTACGCACCTCATCTCAAACTTTTCATTGCAAATTCCAAAACGTCATTTTAGAGCTAATAACAGAGGCTTGAGCCATTAATATGCAGGCTAACGCAGTTATTAATGCAGTCTAACGCAGTTATTAGAGAGGAAAGAGAGAGGGAGAGAGAGAGAGATTAAGTGCGTGTGAATACTTGCGTCTGTGCGTCTTTCAGCAGTGTTTAGCAGCAGCGTCTACTAATAGCGAATCTTTGAGTTGAACTGCTTCAAGAACCTCGCTACTGAGAAATGTCATGTAGCTTTTCAGCTGCGAAACTATTTTATTGATAAATTCGTCGGGCAGCCGCAGCTCTGACTCAAGTTTCTGTCCGCAGCTCCGTGTGTGTGCGCGAGTGCGTGTCTGTAACTACTGTGTGCGTCTGTGGGAGAGAACGGGAGA